ATGGAACAGACAAAAATTTAAAGATATTAAGAAAATGCTGAAGAAATAAGAAATGTACAGAATGAAAGGCACAGTGTCCCAGGTGAAATTCTGACAAAGAATGATCAACAATGAGACACAACCTAGTAAAGTTCTCTGATCCTATATAATAAAAGGCTAATATGCAAATCGACCAAACGGCAGAACAACTGGTTGCTATGGCGCACACTGGACACCAGGGGGCAGACGCTCAATGCAGGAGCTGCCCCCTGGTGGTCAGTGCACTCCCACAGGGGGAGCACTGCTCAGCCAGAAGCGTGGCTCACGGCTGGTGAGCGCAGCGGAGGTGGCGGGAGCCTCTCCTGCCTCTGCGGCAGCACTAAGGATGCCCAACTGACGGCTCCTGCACTGCAAAAGGGCGCAGGCTGGGCCGAGGGACCTCGCCCCCTCGAGTGCACGAATGTCGTGCACTGGGCGTCTAGTTAAAAAAAGCATGTGGCCACCTACACAAAAAGTTGAAGTCCTAGGGAGGGAGAGGAGAGAAACAAATGCATACTTACGTGTCCCCAATAGGACTAAATTGCTACAGTACTTTATAAAATGAGGCAGCTTTTATTAAAATAAAAAATACCAGTCCTTTTAACCCAACAATTTTACTTTTGAGACTACCCCACAGAACATATAAAAGCACCAAAGGATATATGGACAAAAGCAATGTAGCATTGTAGGGGCAAAAAACTGGAAACAACCTGTCTACCTATAGGAGGATAATTACATTGTCAATGGTGAATACATACTGTAAAATGTTACGTTATTAAAATTAAAGCACTAGTTTTTAACCTATAACTACTGACCTGTTTGTTATATTCTGTTGTGTAAACAAAGACTAATACATATATGTGGGTGTGTTTTTATATATAATCTCACTTTAGTAAAAGGAAAATGTTTATGTATATCAAATTTATTTATTTATTTATTTTTTAAATATATTTTATTGAGTTTTTACAGAGAGGAAGGGAGAGAGAGAGTTAGAAACATCGATGAGAGAGAAACATTGATCAGCCGCCTCCTGCACACCTCCTACTGGGGATGTGCCCGAAACCCAGGTACATGCCCTTGACCGGGATCGAACCTGGGACCTTTCAGTCCACAGGCCGATGCTCTATCCACTGGGCCAAACCGGTTTCAGCTCAAATTTAGATATAAAGTCAAACCTCAGTTCTCGAATGTCCCCATCTTGAACAATTCGCTTCTCAACCCTTTCATGCTGATTAGCTGTGTGATCAGTCACACCTCTCTCAGGCTACAAAGAAGTAGAAGGGTGAGTCAGTTTACTGTCAAACCTCATTTTATGTCCTTTTTGTTTATAAAGTGTTTGTAGATTAAGCAGTACATTAGACATGTACTGTATATAAGAAAGGTTAAAACAGGGAAACATTTGGGGGACTGGACTGGATTAACTCAATTTACATTGTTTCTAATGGGAAAAAATGATTTGGTTTTCGAACAGTCGAGAACTGAGGTTCTGTATTGTGTGGGCACGGGGAGAGACACATACACAGCAGACCATACTCACTGGTTTGGGTGCAGATTATTCCTGTGTGTATTGTTTCACTTTATTTATTTTTTTTTTAAACTTTTCTTTTTTTTTTAATATATTTTATTGATTTCTTACAGAGAGGAAGGGAGAGGGATAGAGAGTTAGAAACATCGATGAGAGAGAAACATCGATCAGCTGCCTCCTGCACATCTCCCACTGGGGATGTGTCCGCAACCCAGGTACATGCCCTTGACCGGAATCGAACCCGGGACCTTTCAGTCCGCAGGCCGACGCTCTATCCACTGAGCCAAACCGGTTTCAGCTATTGTTTCACTTTATAATATTTATATACACACAAAACGCATATAGAGAAGGGACTTTAAAATGAGAAAAAACACCCAGGAAAGAAAAAGCTTTGGCCTTTAGCAATTGAGCAGCTTTACTTAATTCAGGCAAAGACACAGGACCTCCTTTAGGGGGAGTTACAGGCACTGGCCGTGGGAAAGAACACCATGAGATCATCATATGCTACCCTGAAGCTGGAGAAGTCACTGAAACCCAGAGAACATCTAACTGGTAATTAACACATTTGGGCTCTCTGTGCCCTTCGGGACAGGGACAAGCACACCAACTGGATTAGCCCATCAGCCCATGGAG